TTATCAATATTTGTATTGACACATATTTGTATGTGTATAAAATGTACATTTGCAAAATGCAAATTTGATCAAAACTCAATTTTTTGTGGATCATCAACAACCATGGCATTATGATAAAACAAATCAAAGCGGACGGAAGTTCGCGCGAGTGACGAAACCGTATTATTGTGGTGAAAAGTCGACTCTCTTTTCACTGTCAATATGGACTACTGACGCATTGCAACGTTCACAGTACACAGAAAACTTATTAAGTGATATCAGAAATTTTGTGTTTCAAATTTTGGTCTCGTCACTCGTTCTTCACCTCGATAGAGGTTTTTTATTTGATTGCGCAACAGATGCGCATACTAAAATCAGTCATGTCTTAGCTATACACTGGTTTGGATCGATTTGGTAAACAACAAAGCCCGATTTAATTCGACTTCGGATCTTTTTCGCATTTGCTCGTTTACCTTGAGATAGCTTGAGATCTTACAAAAAGCTCTAGTTTGAATGTTTTCATTTTTAAAAGAATTTCAAAAAGTAAATCATTCACTTTTCGTCAGTTTTATTGACAATCATGCTAAAACTTGTAATTTTCATTACATTTTTCGTCATTGTGCGATCTCAGTCAATGACTGAAGAAACATCTTCACCGTACGCAAACTCAGAGAATAAACAATCATTGGATGAATTGATATCTGAACCGAAAAGTGATAATGATAATAATCGTGTCATTGGAGACAATACCCAGATTAACGGTCAAAATATCGATGTCAAAAGTAATAGTCAACAAGGAAGCGGTGGAACTCAAAATCCGGAGTCGTCAAATTCGTCAAAAAATGTAAGTATTCGTGCCATTTGAGAAGTTCCATTCGAGCAGTGAATGAGTCTTTGATGTCATTGCATAGCCCTGTGATGTTGGCGAGTGTATGCCATTCGATGAATGCGTCAATGGAACCTTAGAAGATCAATCGGACGCCCGTAGTGCTCAAGTGGAAAATTCCAAACCATGTGGTGGTTTGTTTCGCATATGTTGTTCAGAGCGTGCAAATAAAACTGTCGTCCCACAGATAAATCTTGGCTGTGGCATTCGGAATGTAGATGGTGTTGGTTTT